GTGTCTCAATGTACAACTGCAAACAATTTGAGGATTGTATAATTTATTTAATTATGTCCCATTCAACTACAGGGAATGCAGACAAGGTTGGGCCCTCAGATAGCACTGCACAAAAAATATACATAATTCTTCAAGGAAATCATCACATAGGCACAATAATGCCTCTGAAAACCATTCAGTGATAAGTGTTCTTCACTGTTCCATCCATGCTTATCCAAGTATAATTCACAAGGGCTGCAGTCTTAGCAGAGATGTCCACACCTCTCCTCTCCCCAGTCACCGCCTCTAGTTCCTCTGGGGAACACCGAGGTCATAAAAGCCAGCCAGAGACATAATCTCTCAAGTGCACCCTCGGTCTCGCTTGTAGTCTGCTCTTAGCTGGGCATGCCCAAATCACCTCACCAGGAGGCATCCCACATCCTTCTCACTGCTTCTCAAAATGTATTTAAAAACATAAATGTAAATGATATATAGAGCTGAATATCAAACGCATATATTAAATATATCAAATATCTGATATCAAAGTATAAAATGACATTTATACACAACTTACTCAACGAGCAAATAGCAGGCTGACATTTACCGGAAAGAAATAAAATGGAAACAATTTGACATTGCTAAAAGCAAAGGGGTAGATTACTTAAATTACGCCCACATAAATTACCCATCAAATTAAAACCAAACACTTTTCACAGTCAAGGAATCAGGTGACTATTGAAATACATAAAACAAACGAAACCTCTCAGAAATCAAAGCAGTTTGTTTTTGACATTTTCTTGTATATTGCAGAAAGAACAAAAAAGAATATCAAGTAAATTTTGTCATCTAAATTTCGACAGAAGAGTTAATAGTGCAACAGATTAGATGTCAGAGGCCTCATCACATCTGGAATAAAACAAAAGCAGCAGCAACAACAACATGGCAGTAATTGCCAAGCATGGAGATGGTACTATAATGTAGTCAGCTTTCCATGTCTGAAGGGCAGTATTACAAAGTAAAGTTTGGACTTCAGATGGTGCAGTATGCTGTTCTGGGTGAATACGGCCACATAAAGAAAGGAAAATGTCCCTGTAGCCAATGAGCTGCATTAATAATGCAGACAGACTATAATAAACTCACCACCTCATGCTGGTTTAGGGATTTGCATCACTGCTTTGATTTGGACCGTTTACTTATGGACTAGCGGAGCGTAAACCAACACAGGCTGCAAGGATAGCCAGCTCTCAGTTAATGAGAGCTAAACATCTGAGGGTTCATGATGCCAAAGTTGGAACTGCTGTTGTGTCAAATAAAAACAAAATAAAGTGATGTGCAGATCTCATAAACACATATTTTTATTAAAAGAAACAGAACATAGAAAACATAAGTTTAAACCGAAAAATTCCCCATTTCAAGAAAAGAAAAGACTCTAAAAAGTCAAGTTTACCACTGTGCAGCATCCTCTCTTCTTTTAGCAGCAG